AATGTCGACAGATTGGTGCGACCGATTCGACTTGGTCCATGGAAAGTTAGGCATCGCAGTGTTGACAGCTTCAAGCTCCGCCTCAGAGCAGGTTGTCGATGGCGGGGCGGAGACGACGCGCTCAGCTAATAATAAAATAAGACTGAGCAACCATAGACTATACCCGGGTAAGACTGCATCGCGCGGTTGGACAGCTTTCCTCAAGTACAATGCATCGAGCTACATAGATGCACGGCGTAGGTGATCAGCCCAAGCCGCCGCACGTGCAGGTATGCGGAACTAATGGAATGACATGGAGAAGGCAAGACCAGTCCCGGTGCAGCTAACACCGGACCAAGTTGCTGATATCGCGAGCCGTGGCAGTGCTGCTATTGCCAATTCCCTGCAGGCTGCCTCTAACGCCTTTCTGCTGTTCAAGGCTTCCAAGGCGCAATCGACGTTTCGTCTTTCCCGTTCTGTGCCTGCACTCCCGCGTCCCAGTCACACAAGGAGACGACAGCAAACGTCGCTGGATCCAGATACATACACTGTGCCCATAGCCCGGCGGATGGAACCTGCAAACAAGAACGCCAAGTGGGGACAGCAGCTGTTAGTCTAGGCGGCGTTGCCAGCCCTCCTCTGCTCAACGTGCCTGAAGCTGCAGCCGCCCCTGCGTATCGCCTGGGGTATGCAAACTATACATATCGCGTCTCATTATTGTACACTGAATGTTTTGCTTTTCTTGTGCCATCGTGACATTTGCGACGTGTTCGAAGAGCTCAATGCCTAGAGTGGCAGATTGCATCATCACCATCGCGGACTATCTCAAAGCGAGCGGATGTGCATTATCTCGCTCATGTTCCCTCAGCTCCGAAAAATGTCATGGGGCTATTTTTGGCGTCTGACATGTGCTAGCCGCGTTAGACTAGCTTGCCTATCGTTTCGGTTCTGATGCCTGTGTAAGGTTTCCTAAGCTTCCACGTTACACCACTTTCACACAAATCTCAACACAAGGCTGGGGTCTCGAAAAGCTGACCATCAGCCACTTCATGCACGCAATATAGCCAAACTCAATTGTCGGTCTCTCCGACACCTCACCGGCATTGACCGGACAACAAATGACGCGAACGTATGCCGGTGAGGCGGTTATGCACGCCTCCTTGGAGGTGCGTGGGGACTACTGTATGCGTAAGTGCGGCGCTGCCAGGAACGATCTCTGTATGAGAAATTGTTACGCGCTTCTCTTCTCGATCGTACTTCTAGTATTGATGCAATGCCGAATCGTCTCGCAAGAGGGTATGCTAGGAGCTTACTCAGACCATGGGTAAAGCGAACCCCGATATTCGCACGCGAGCGATCTGGTTATTACCGCAATACTTCTCAACAAAATCAGATTCTCATGTCGGTACCGTATGGGTTGCGGAAGTTGTAGGCAGCTCGTCGTCACGGATCATCGCGCTACCACTGAATGACAACCACACTGTAGCCTTGTGATCTCGCACAAAGCGTCTATAGGCAAACTTTGACTACGATTAAGTGAACTTTCAATCACTACGTAATGGGATTGCGCAATTCTCAATTCCATTGCCCGAAACTTCTCCACTGAAACTTTACGAGCGTTGTCCTGACTACGACCACTTCAATACAAACTACAGATTTCTCCAACCTTCTCTCTCGACCATGGCCGATCAACAGGTGTTCCGGTTTCTCGATCTACCGACAGAACTGCGCTTGATGGTCTACAAATTTCTCCCGGTCAAGACGGTACATCACGTCGTTCGAACGAACGACTTTGCTTTCTGGTTCAACAACTCTCACTATCACTCTACTCACTTACCTGAGCGTTTTCTCGAAAAGGGAGCACATTTCCAGACTCCCTCCTCGAAATGGCCTGTATACTCCATGAAGATAGTTTCCAAGAAGGTCCCCGGCCTAGCGATCCTCGGTACCAGTCAAAAGATCCATCTAGAAGCTGGTGAAGTGCTACATCCAAAGTTACGAGCCATCAGCAAATTACCAGCACAGATTATCGTCAACAGTATCTCTCTGGGCAGTTTCGCCATGGTTGATGTGGTGACTCGATTGTCATACGCAAACACAACCTATTGGACAAACAAAAGCCGTCTCCTAGACTGGCGCGTAGCAGCACCTGAGTTGCGCCCAGGAAACGAACCCAGATCTCGACCCGTCCACGTAGCCATACGCAATGCGTTCCTCGACCGAGACACAGCCGACGCATCGACAGACAATTTCAGAATGCAGTGCCTGCGGAATTGCTTCTACTGGTCACTTAGAAATGAATCAGCCATACATGCCGCGAGCTGCCCTACAGATGGCTCATTCCCGCACATTGACCAGCGTTTGCATCTCCGTATGGCTGGATTGACTTCGCAGGAGGCAAAGGCTTACGACACATTTCGACCTCTGGACCGTGAAAGTTTTGGAAGATGCTGTCGTTGCAGGTCTACCTCGCTCATCGACAGCGGTGAGATCATTGGTGAAGTGGAATGGGAGGACGAATGGGCAGAGCACGAGAGCTGTCAATAAGGGCTAGGATATCATTACGATGAAGGAGAGGAGTCGTCTCAAGCGTGGGGAAGTTGGCTGGATACGGCTACTTAAGTTTGGGGACTGATTATTGACATCGATCAATGGACGCTCAAAACGGAACGGAAGACGAATTCGAGAAGTACTTCCGTAGAAGTGTCAGTTGCATCACACAATACTAATCTCAAAGTAATCTTACCTTCACTTCTACTTCGAGTCTGTGCGCTCACTGGCCGTATTGCGCCTAACAGGCACCTGTTTTCTACCCGTTCTTCTCACCACACCACATCACACGACCGAAGTTGACTTAAGGGCAGACATCTCCAGCGATTACACCCAAGTCATGAAGATATCAACCACCGACCTACCTCCGCCTCAGACTGCCACGATGGAGTCATCAGAACAGCCACGCCGCCCATTATCCACGTTACTCTACCCAAGAACAGCGGAAGCGCCGTCAGCACACGAGACGTCACCCCAACTTCCGTCAATCCCCGAGTCACTACCATACCCACCTTGTTCACCGTCAAAAGCGCATCAAGAAATATCAACACCACCCTCACCACCAACCTCCCCACCCCTCATCGTCATCCACCCCGTCCCAGAACCCACCTCACCCACCTCCCCAACCTCGCCCTTCCCAGACAGTCTCCCACCGCGCCCCCAACCCGCACAAAACGGAACCCTCATCTCCCGCCTCTTCAAGCGCGCCCCCGCCCACCCCGATGACATCGAGCTCGGCCACCTTCCGCATGGACACACACCAGAGACTCCTGTTGCAGACGCGGAGAAGGAACGGGAGTACAGGAGGAAGAAGGTGTTGTTCATTTACATGGTTTGGGGAGTGCTTCTCGTGCTTGCGATCTGCGGGATGGTGGTTGGGGCGCAGATGTATAGGGGGAAGGTTAGTGATGAGGGTAGTGGTGAGAAGGTTAATAACTTTGAGGTTGTTGATGCGGATGGAGAGGTCGTGGGAGGGGGAGGGGGAGGATGATGGGTGGTGGTTGGTTGATTGAAGTAGACTCACGGGCTGGATAGATCAATGTCCGGACAAATGTCACTGATAAAGAGAGCCTTGTAGCCAGCAGCAGTGCCGGAACAGAGGAGGTTGAGACGTAGGATCGAACAATGAAGAGTGTTTAGAGTTTCACGAAGACATAGTGCGATAAGGTTATGCTAGACGTGCTTCGTCATGTGAATCCTCCTATAAGGAATTGAAATAATTTACTCGATCTCAATTGATAACTCGCGTGGCCCTGTACGGCAGTAGTTCAAGTTCAGGTGTCTCCAGACCTAGTCCTGGTTCTGTGTCACCTTCACCATCTCGCTTACTCAACCCGGAATCCGCGTTCGAGCCCCGCGAGACCTGGCCCAGGTGCTCTTTCACTTTCACTTTTACGGCCGCCCGCTCTTTTCTGTTAAGCTAGCTCTCGTCTACCTTCGCGCAAAGACTTCTTCCATCCACTACCAGCTGCGCAACAATCACGGCATCTACACTGCCATCTCCTACGCCGCAAGGTCTGTTACCCTACAGTATGTCTGATAGTCTTCGTTCTGACATTCTTGCAGAACAGTCGCTCTCATTCACTATGGACGACTTCGATAGTGAGGCGGAGTATGACGACGGCCTCGACAGCTTCTACGACTATGATTACGGCGACTTCGACTTCGACGACGACGATGATATCGATCCATACAATCACTTCTACGGCCGACACAACACCTACAAGTCCAGCAAGTTCAACAAGATCGCATCCGTCCCATCCAATCCGCCCGCCATATCTCACGAGCATTATTTGCAGAACTACAAAGTAACCTGCCGCAGACTTGCCCTGTTCATGGTCTGTTTAGTCTCCATAACGGCCTTAATCCTGGTAACATTGCTCTTACCCGAGGCAACAATCTCCTCGGTCAAACTCATGGGCTTCCTGCTGGTCAAGACTGCATTGATTTTGCTCAAGACAGCTATTTTCCTGCTCAAAATTAGCTGCAAAATTTTGTTCCATCTTGTATTAGCGTTCTTGTTCAGGAGGTGATGAGAGATCATGAGGCGGAAGGCTGGAAACAAGCATAAAGGGACAGAAACGATAGGACACAAAGCACAAAGGCACCAGAGGCAAGAAATGGAGATGAGTTGGATTTGTTCAGGTTCAAATGCAGATCGCTTCAACGCCCATGGCGTGCTTCCAAGCGTTTGGATCGAGACAGACGAAATCGAATTTACTAGATGGTATTATTTGCTGTATATGCATGGACTCGAAACATGTACTCAGTCTCATCCGACAGTTCAGGTGATCTCGCAGTCCAGGAAGTTGCGTTTAGATCTGATCCAGGCGCTCTTTCCTCTTCACGTTGCCGCCTGCTCACTATTTATTCGTTCCGCTAGCTCTCTTCTACCACCGCTCAACTACGCCTGCCACCTATTGCTGACTGCGCAAGAATCAAATACATACACTGCCATCTACCACGCTGCCATGAGTATGTTGCCCACTAACACCACTGAAACGCTCTTTCCTAACCTCCCAGCAGAACGACCACTCCCAACGGCTATGAACGCCTCCGATGGCGAAACCGACTACTCCACGGACGATACCCCCTCGAGCACGGGGTCCGACGACGGTTGGGTTGACTTTGGCTGCGGCGATTTGTACAAGGACATCTGCGGCGGCGGCGACGACGATGACGACGACAACAACAACGGCAACGGCAACAGCGACAACGACGACTCCGACTCCGATCAAGGTCACACTCACACCACCTACATCAAGATCAAGTCCAAAAACGGCGCATCCAGCCGGGTGAAGCCGCCCACCGTCTCTGTCAAACATCGTGCGCCTCATTCCAGAGTAAAGCGCCGTGATTATACCAGTGACCGCGAGTTCACCGTCTGCTTCCTCATGATCCTGGTCATTCTGGCACTCTTGTTTCCTGAGGGAGCATCTGTTTCCTTCAAGGTTATGGGCTTCTTACTGGCCGAGGTTGCATCAATTTTAATCGAGGGAAAAATTCTCCGGTTTGGGTTAGCTGTAGTGTTGTTCGTTGCCGCGTCCGTAAAGCGGCAGGGCTGAAAACAAGCAGGATGGGAGAAAAGGAACAGGATGTGAAGAACAAGGGTATCAAAGGGAAGCAGATGAAATGAGACGCACTTGTTCTTGTTCAGAGGAAACAATGATCGCTTCCACGCACAGGCGTCACGGAGACAAAATGGAAGTTACTAGATGGTATCATTTGCTGTACATGCATGAGTAAAGTGAGTGGACTATTACTGGGTCTCCTCTACATATCCCAAAGCCTCTCCAACCTTAACCTTCATTCCTTGTTCAATGTTCCACTTGAACCCACCCTTCCTCTCCATACCAGTGAAGCCCTCGTCGAGACTGGGTCTTATGCCCTTTGGCGCCTCAAAGACTAGCACAATGGTACTTCCTAGCTGGAATCCACCCATCTCTTCTCCGCGCTTGAGAGAATAACCTCCCAACACGCGACTAGCGGATGTGTAGGAGGCCTCGGCGAAACCGGAGTAGGGTTCTCCCCTCGCTGCAGCTTCTTCTGCGGCACGGTCAGCGGCCGTGTCGGTGGTGAGGCTGTTGGTGCGGAGTTCGCGATCGAAGTTGATTTTAATAGATCCGACATTGGTTGCGCCAACGGGTGTGTAGGAGAAGAAACCCCAGCGCCAGCGACCGAGCAGGACAACTCGCTCGTTCAGTGTGAAAAGACCGGGCATGGTGCGTTGTAGGTATGGAGATACACTGTATAATTCACCGGCGAAGTGACGGCGCGATTCAACGACCCATGATACCGGAGAGTGGAAACGGTGGTAGTCGCCAGGCGCGAGGTATACGACACAGTAGTAGAGTGCGGTAGGTGTCTTGTTGGATGCGGGTGCCCACCACGGGCGCTCAGCTTCGCTCAAGGCCATCTCGGCGCGTACCTCGGCTTCTGATGAAGCAGCCGGTGCAGTGGACTGATCCGTGGGCATTTCAGATGGCTTTCCGCCCTTTGGCCATGGTCCTGAGAACAGGTTGGGCAAGGTATACGAGATGCCGTTCACGTTTGCGAATTCCTCGTCTGCGCGGACAGTATCCTCTTCGTCCTTCGCGGTCTTCTCATGCTCGCTTGTGACGACCTGAGAGTTTGCGACGTTTTGGGCGGGTGTGCTGGGCTTGGTGGAGCCTAGAAGCGCATCTAAGCTGTAGGTCACGCCTTTGACTTGTTCGACTTCGCCGTGCTCGATGGTGCCGAATTGGATGACTTTGCCGTCGGCGGGAGAGAGGACGGCGTTGGGGTTAGGGTCGAGAGGGCGGACTCCGGGTTTTAGGGTGCGGTAGAAGAAAGCAGCGAGATTGGGGTAGACATGGAGGTCGGGCTCAGAGACTTCGGAGAGGCTGTGACTTATTAGCATTGGACGCTACTACTAGGCTGATGGTTGCTGACTTGACACCAAAGATCCAAGAGTAGAGCTTGAAGCCGGGTACGCGAAGGTAGTATGGAATGTCGATTTCGTTGAAACGTCCCCAAACCCGCGAGAGGGCCTTTAGAGGTAGCGTGGACATGACCTGGACCGTCCATGGCCCGCTCGGCCGTATCCTCTCGCGCTTCTTCGGTCGGCCCTGGTTGTCCACTGCACCTTCCTCGCCATTCTGCCTCTCAGCCTCGGTATGCTTCTCCCTCCGTTGTATGCGATAGAGCTGGAATGCGCCGAGGAAGCCGACGCCGAGTGCAATTGGTATTGGCTCCCATTTTATCTTGGTGTTCTTGAGTGCGGAGTTAAGCCGTGACCTGAAGGACTCTTTCCTGTGGAAGTTCTGCTCATATGTTGCGCGCGTGGAGGAGAAGGTGCGAGACGGGACGGAGAAGCGCGCCTGTCGGTGTGCGGGCGTTTGGAATCGCGGGCGGAGAGGGGCTCGCATGAGCTGGCGCGAACAGGAAGACGCCATGGCTATGTTGTATGCATCGGTCTCGAATATTGCAGTGCGGGAAGACGGCCAATTCCCCAGCGACGAGATGACGGCTATGGCGTCGCGTGGTGGGAAAATCAACTTCCTCGGTTGACCAATGACGTATCCATCGGCGACGGGGCTCTAGCGCGCAACGGCGTCTACCGCTGGACATGGACAGTTCAATGCATCGCGTGCACAGGTCAAGCTTCTCGAAACATCCAAAGGCGAGGCGGCACTGACGCTCAGATTAACCGCCTGGACTTCATAGCAGATGGCAGGCGCGACCGTGGTCCTAAGCTGATACCAGGCTCTAATTCGGACACGTCGTCACTTCCCGACTTCCACCTGCACTCTTCACCTCGCACCATAGTCCCTCACTACACACAGCGGCCATGGCGGAAGAAGCGCAGACAGTCAACCTTAAGATCCTTTCACCCTCGTCTGACTTTGAGGGTGGTGTGAACCTCGCAGACGTCCCCGCTTCCACCACGGTCAAAGAGCTCCGGAGCCGCATACAGGATGCCACGCCCTCGAAGCCTGCCCCAGAGCGCATGCGCCTCATCTATCGCGGCAGAGTAGTGGCCAATGATGCCGACACACTGAGCAATGTGTTTGGCGTGGACAATGTAGGGTCGCCAACCACGTGTGGTAAACGTAAGCTGATGGTGAATACAGCTACGTGAGAACAAGGACCAGAGCCTCCACTTGGTTCTGCGGGAGCTTCCGACTACTGGGAACCCTTCAACGTCACCTACGCCACGATCCGCGACTGTCCCGAACCCTTTCCACCCTGCGCAAGCCCCGGCTGTACCCGCAAACCCTCTGCAGACGAACCCATTCCGCGCGCTGCCACAGGCTCGACCGCACTCGCTCCCACCACTACCACCGCATCACCATCATATCCCGGGCCAAGCGAACGCGGTCCCTATCCCTCTGCCTCTTCCCCCGCAACTACAACAACAGTTCACGCAGGCCATGGCGCAACAGGGACAGCAGAACAACGAGCAGACCCCAGACTCGACATCTCAGCAGCCAGGACCAGACGCACAGAGACCCGCGGATGTCGCTCAAGGACTGCCCAATCTCCCTGGAAATGGCGACCAACCATTACGACGCGAAGGCGTGGGTCCCAACGGGGCGCGATGGACAGTCACATACAACCAGGTCAATATACCTGCGCAGATTCGACAACCCGTTCCTGCATTCGGTCTTGCTCCACCGCTAGCTTTTGGTCGTCCACCGGTCCCGCCAGGCGTTATTCCCTCAATGGGCCACGACAGCACCCAGCGCTTGTTGCCACGCATCCAGACAATCTTCCAGGAGGCACAACGCGAGATGGATAACGTGCGAACCTTGCTGCAGCCTGCGCGTCCATCAGAGACACAGACTGATCGACTTTCGCTTTCAAACACCTCTCCCCTGAACATACCGGTTTGGCGAATCGATCACGTCCGCCAACACCTGAATACCATCAACCAGAACTTGAACGTTGTCGAGCGGGCCCTCGCCCTTCTCCCTACAGAACCCGAGGTGGTAGCGCTGAGACGCTCAGTAACCGAGATCAGAGTGGACGCACTAGAGTTGAACATCATACTCGATCGTCAACAAGGCGGAAGCCCCAGTCGATCAAGCATGTCCACAGCCATCAACACTCCGATTCTCGGACCTTCCTCTAGCACAATACCAGGCGCTCCGATAATGACTCCAGCTGTGCCTACTACATCTCAACCACGGACACAGAACACTACACAGGCAATGCCTACAGATGCGCCAACGGAGTTGTTTCTCTTATCAAGCCCTCAGGGCCCGGTTGGCGTTCTATTCGACCAGCAAGGCACATACACCACTGCCCCCATAGTCTCGACACTTCCATTTCAGAGTTTTACGACCCAATTTGCTCAGAACAGACAGCTCCTCAATGGCCTTGGACAGCAGATAGCACGGGGGAATCCGCCCCCTAACCTTGAGCTGCACAGGCAACTAGCCAACATGAGCCAGACCCAACGTCGGGACTGGATCCAGAATCAAAACCAAAACCAAAACCAGAATCAAAATCAAAACCAGAATCAAGATCAGAATCAGAACCAAAATCAGAATCAAAACGCGAACGTAAACGTAAACCAACCAGAAGAGAACGATCGCATGGTCAACGTCGCTGGGCATATGTGGCTGATCTTCAAGCTGGCAGCATTCGTTTACTTCTTCTCAGGAGGTGGTGGCCTCTATAGACCCATCATGCTTGGTATCGTCGCAGGTGTGGTTTACCTAGCACAAGCCGGCATGTTTCAAGAGCAGTTTAACCTTGTTCGTCGTCACTTCGAGGCTCTTCTCCCTGTCGGAGCCTTGGCCGAACGCGTGGCTCAGCCCAACAATCAGCGCCAAACGCAACATCGAGGTAACCTATCACCCGAGGAAGCTGCGAGGAGAATACTGCAGCAGAGGAGAGATCAGAGATTCGGATGGCTCAGGGACAGCATGCGTACAGTCGAACGCGCTTTTGCGCTGTTTGTTGCCAGCTTGTTTCCTGGTGTTGGAGAGCGTATGGTCCACGCGCAAGAGGAGAGGGAGAGACTCGAAAGGGTGGCAGCTCGAGAAGAGAGGGAACGCCAGGAGGAAGAGGCGAGAAGAAGAGAAGAAGAGGCCCAAGCAGAGCGCGAGCAGAGAGATGAAAAGAAGACCGAGGCCGATCACGAGCCACAAGATGAGTCGAATGCAAGTGTAGGCACCAAGGGCAAGGAGAGGGCAGCGACAGAGGCAGAGGCTACTGCTCCGGGTCCTTCTTCATGATTTTATAAAGCGACATCATTACACGGAAGTAGCAATGCTCAGACAGATACCCTTGCATGACGTCAATACATATTTCATTCACATTGCACCCTGGAATATGTCTCATCCGGTGCTACCTACCAAATTTCGGTGCCACATCAGTCTTGTATACGCTCGCCAGCAGCGAGCCATAGTACGTGTAGAGTCTGCCATACCTTCGGTCCGACTATATCTTATTTCAAATCATGTTCCGGTATGGACAACCTCTGTCGGCGGCGGTGCAGAATATTGCGAATGTCTGACCCGGGGCGCGCCTGCCATGTTCAAGACAAGGGTCCATACTAGCGCACAACCAGCTAGCT